TGCCCAGTTATATCCATTTGACTGAAGACTCCTGGAACACAAAATGTATGAATGCCTGCCTAAGTAGGAAAAGTTTACCACTCTTCTTTTGAGTTTTTCCTGAATTCTTCTTCATGAGAGAGTCCAGACTTCACCCAGTCCCATGTCTTGTGCCAGCTACACAGAATACAGGGAAATGTCCTCCACTTTATATCAAAATAATTAATTTGAGAGCCTTTCCTTATGCTCTTAAAATAGCAACTGCTGGGTACAAGAGAGAGGAACCAGTCAATCTGGAGGAATCCCAAATTTTGCAGAAGTAATGTATGTTATGAGAACATTCCCCTAACATAGGTCTGAAAATGCCTATTGTGGGAAAGGGAATTGAAGATACAGAGGAGCACTGTTTTGTTGCAGAGCTTAGCCACACTTGTCTTTTTATTTTATTTGTCTTCCTTTGCTACTCAATATCAACATGGAAAAACACTTCATTTTTGCCTCTTTGGCAGCTTGAACATGGACGAGCCTCCGTTGGTCCTGGCTGCAGCCACGTTGGTGAAAAATATCAGCTACAAGTACAAGGAGGAGCTCTCAGCTCACCTGATGGTGGCCGGATGGGACCCCAGGAGAGGTGGGCAGGTAAGTTCTGGGAATCCAAAACTGGAATGCATCTGATACAGGAGAAACTTTATTTACTGCGAGAAATAACTATAGCAGGTGGTTTCCTGACCATGGAGTTGGCTAATGTGTCCTCTGGGTTGCAGTGGAAGGTGGATACTGAAAATTTATATAGCACTAGGTCTGCCTGAGGTTAGATTCCTGGACTAGGACTCTAGAGATCAGGGTTCAGATCCCATTTCTGCCATGGAAACTCACTGGTGGCCTTGGGTAAATCCCAATCTCTGAGCCTCAGAGGAAGGAATTAATCTTGCCCCTCCCCTAAAAAAAAGAGCATGATATGTTTTCAGGTCACAAAAAATCAGAAATGACTTGAAAGCACCAACAGTTGTGCTTCAAGTGGCTGAGCATGGGTTTGAATCTTAGTCTCCAGAGTCTTAGTCCTACTCTCAAACCACTATACCATATTGGGTCTCCCTTCTATACCAACTATTTAATTTATGTATGTATGTATGTATTGGTTGCATTTGTATGCCATCTTTCTCCTAGATTGTGATCCAAACTATTAAGATTTTACCATAATATTCCCATCCATCTGATGCCAGAGCTCATGTTGATCACACCTCCATTGAAGAATTGCTGGGAAGCAAAATGTTGTTCTGACGATAGCTTTCCCATTAGCCTTCAGCTTTTCAGATTGGTCTTTGCCCTGAAGATGCCTAAGGAACAATCTCCCTTCTTTCTTGGGCCCTTCCCATCAGGTCTACGGGACACTCGGAGGGATGCTCACCCGGCAGCCCTTTGCCATTGGGGGATCAGGGAGCACCTATATTTATGGTTATGTCGACTCAGCCTACAAACATGGGATGGACCAGGTGGAATGCCGGCAGTTCACCAAAAATGGTAAGCTTTCCGTGGTCTCCATTCCAGGGTAGCATGTGATGCGAAACT